CTGGAGACAGTGGTTCTACAGAAGGGAATTCTTTGCTTTATCTACAAAGATACTTGCTTCCCAGGACTCATCAGGTTGAGAAACTCAAGACTTTCCCATTTCTTCCAACTTCTATTATACTGCTTTAAAGAGGCACATCCAGAAAATTAAACATAAAATTTAGTAGCCATTTTAGGGAGTTTGCTCCTGTCAATTTTTAGAAAATCTGCTAATCAGAACAGCCTAAAAAACAGCCAGCTGTTTATGTGTGTGTATATATTGTCATGTCCAACAAATAACTCCCCTAATACTGTGATGTTTGAAATTGTTTTTACATATAGACAACGGGTGTGGCATAAATTAATCTTTGTAATATATAGTTTTGTAAAATCTTTTTTGTAAGTGGCTTAACAGGTGACCAGAAATGTACTTCTTTAACAGTTATTTTCACCGTTGTCAACACCAAAAAAGGGCTTTAATTCACTCTCTTTTTAAACTTGCTTTAACAACATGTGTGGTCTAGTTTGTAGTTTAGATTGGAAGAGAGTTCAATAAAGCAGAGGTCCAAGTAGCATTGTGCAATATTTCCATGTTTACTGTACTGGATGCATTGGGCAAATACCCTCAAAAATACTTACTATTTCATATATAAATAACAATCTCCAATTTTATGAGGATGCCAATTAATTTCTAAGTAAATATTGTAAATTAAGAAGGAAAATCTAAAAGAGAGCCTTAAAATGAAACAACTTTTTAAGACAATTTTTGTACACAGTTAACCCTTACAGCACCGCATTTTCAGGAATCTTATCCTTAATGTTCTGCAATGAGAAACTTAGTAACAATCACCTCCCGCTTCCAACTCCTCCAAACCAAACAGTACCACTCCCCACTCTCCTGATCCTTTCTGCTCCCTCTCAAGATAAGATCTGCTCAATTTCTCTTCTTAACCACCCCAATACTTCAAGCAACAGAATGTGATCACCTCCTAATGGCTGATTCACTACTTTCCCCTATTTTTGCATGATGCACTGCTAGCCCACCTACTTCCCCCACTGCTGAATGGTGTCCTGCCAGCCCTTTGAGATGCTGATGCAATTGGCCTCACTCCTGATTCCCAGGGGAGTTGGAAATCGATAGCAGAGGAATTGGGGTGCATTGGGAACACCACTTGGCGGATGGGGAGGGGAACTTTCTGTGAGATGGGAAAGGCACGGTAAAGTCAAAAGTCCCAACCCTTAAATCCTTTAGAAACAGACAGTTCCCAGAAATCATATCACTGGGAATCAGCCAGTTTCCTAAGGGTTAACGCATTCCAGTTTTACGTTTGTTACTGATTATATACACCCCTTCACTGTGCCTTAGTATACCAATTTGACATATGTTGACTGATGAATGCATATACTGGAACATTATTTAGCTTAGAAATTGTTAATCAATTTTAAAAATTGAAGGATCCACTTATAAGAGAAAAAATCATTATTTAAGATTTGCATGTAATATATTTTAAACTTTCTTTAAAAAACCTTGCAAAAATGTCATAAAAATGGACCAATCTGTGCACCAAAAAAATTTACCTGCTCACCCTTTGTCATGATGACAGGGATGAAAAAATGAATGGTCCCAACTCCCCAAGTACTGCCAAGGAATTCACAAAACACCTCAGGAGGAAAGGTGGCCTTTTGCTGCCTTGATTCTGAGACAGCTGTGAACCTGGCCAGTACTCCAGCATAACTCAAGTCTCAAAGCATCCTGAAGAAGTCCTCTACCTTGTATAGGATTCCCCTAGGAGCAACTGAGGAAACCTGGTAGTACTGCTGAGGAGTAACAAGGCATGGGTGCTGGGGCCTCAGAGCACCCTCCCCCCCTAAACAAATGACTGTGGCCTCCCACAAATCTAATCCTCTGTTTGCAAGGATACTTTGAAAAAATATGAAGCAAGTATAACTGATACAGTGATGTCTGACTGAGTCTGCAGAGCCTAAAACAATAGCTCTAAGAGGCATGAGCTTTCACTCAGTGGGGTGTTAATTCACAAATATGATTGTTTAAATGTCAGCATTTTTAACTATTTCTCTGCTGACCAAAGGGAAGAAGAGACAGGATTATAGCATGAGGATCTGCACATTCTACTGAGAGTAACAGATCATTTTGTTGCCATGAATAGGTGGCACTTGGGAGAATTTCAACTCCCTCCCCATCCCCCAATCTAACCTGGGAAGCCAACAAGCCAAAGGCGAGAAGCAGAGTTTGCACAGGTATCTGAGCCCCACTGAAGAGAAGCAAAACCCCAGGAGCCTAGCAGAGCACCTGAGACCCACTAAGGGAGAGCCAAGATTGAGAATCTGATCCTCAGTGACTGGAGGCCCAGCAGGGTCAAACTAGGCATCAGAGTCTCATTGAGCTAAGTCTGTGGAGCTCAGCAGACTATCTGAATCCCACTCAGATGAAGAATCCAGAGATTATCCATGCCACACTGAGGGGCAGCCAAATCCAATGAGGCCAGCTGAGTATGCATTGCCATATTTACGAACAGCTGCCCAAGCTACTGTGAGTGGCATCTGATTTAGGCATCTCAAGTGGGTGGGCCTCAGTCTCTGGCTGGAGTGTTGAAAACTACCACTAACTTCCCGCTCCCCCTCTCCCCATTCAACCCCTGCCATCACAGCACCAACATCCATAGAGAGCTTTTTTATTGGGTGTCGGGGAAGGCGGAATTCACTGCCGCAAGATGTTTGAGCCTCCTTTCAGCACAGGATGGAGAGACAGTTAAGCACTGGAATAAGTTACCTGGGGAGGTTGTGGAATCCCTATCACTGGAGGTTTTTAAGAGATTAGACAAACATGTCAGGGATGATCGGGAAGGAGGAATGGACTAGATCAGAGTTTCTCAACCTTTTTGATACCAGGGACCAGCTTACTGCCTTCCTAAACTATGTCAGGTCTCAGGGACCGGCGCCAGGCCGCGGATTGGGTTGTTGAGAAACACTGGACTAGATGACCTCTTGAGGTCCCTTCCAGCCATACATTTCTGTGATTCTATGATCACGTGCAGCCAAATACAGATTTCATTAATATTACTGGGCTCCAGAACGGTAAACTTAGCTGGGATGAACACCGCAAATAAATTAGCTGACTATTTTACAATAGCAGTTTTAAATCTGCTGAAATCCAGAAAAGACAATATAATCCACAAATTTGCCTAGGAATTACTTGACCATTAACCAGATATACATGTATTTTTCGATTACATGTGAATATGAACTGCTGAATTGTAATGTTGTCTCCTTTGTGTGTGTGATTTTTTTATTTATCTGAACACTCCCAAAGTATAAAATAGCTCTGTGAGAAAAGGTGACAAAAATGTAAGGATGAGAAAAGAGTTGGAAAAGAGATCCACCGGGAAAGATAGTAAAAGACAGCAAGACTAAAGAAAATAAAAACATGCGCATGAGTGTTTATTGTCAATACATAGCTATAATACACTGGCCTTCCTCACAGCCAAGATGATCTTGCAGTGATGCCCATATAGAAAACTGGTGTAAAGAATTGCATAAACTGTCATTCCAGGAAAGGGCAATACACAGAAAACATAGCAGACTTCCAAATTTTTTAAACCATTTGGCCTTTATTTTTCAACTTATACAGTCAGCAAAGGTAATTAAAAGTCTATACAGGATGCTTTGAAAATGGGAATGCAGAATAAGAGTTGCATTCTTGTTTACTCCTAGAGCTATTCGATTTCAGAAACCTAAAATTGGACATGACAAAAACAGGTCAGCTGTAGGAAAACTTGAACTCATAAGAGGGATTCCAAAGAGTGGTCTCTCTAGACCCTGTACCACATGAGGAAGATTTCCTTCCTCCAAGGGAGAACAATGAGTTCCCATTCCTGACCACTCTGGCAGCTGTTATCCTTTGGGAGTGGTTATACTTGGGAACAGAATTTCCCCCTAAAAAACAAAAAAGTATGCTTCTCAAACATGTGTTTAGACCCTGGTTTTTGTTAATTTCTTTACTAAAATTGAGGGCATAAAAACCTGAGCAAATGCTACTTTGTGTGCACAAACAGATAGCACACGCAGTTACCTATATTGCATGCTCAAATGCTATTTTTGCGTGTATAAATGGATATGGCCACCTATTTTGTGGACATATTTTTGTACGCTGTTACTGTATGATATTGTTGTTAATAAACTTTTATTAAAGTCCACATTTACTATGGTTATTAGTATGGGACTTGCATTCCTAGGTCAGTTAGGTGCTTTTGCAAATCCCATCCTACACTAAAAACCTAATGCTTCATGCCCTGCAAGAACTTTTTACCTAAGACCTAAAATGAAAATGATCACCAATATAATGGACTCTGGCCCATCTTCTGCCCCTAATCTGGCTTCAGGAAGAATCAGAATGATCAGCTCCCAGTCACGAAAGAGTCTGGGGATTGTGGTGGAAGCTCCTCTATTCCCCCTACTAACAGGTCCTAGAGACAATTTCTTTCATTCTTTGCAACATAAATTTATTTAGCAATTAAACACACCCTTTTTCTGCTTCCTACTCAGAGAGTGAAATACAGTTGGAGCAAATGAGTTTTGCAGATCAAAACATGGGTTGTGAGGAGGACACAGTTCAGCCCACAAACCCCAGGCCTGAAGTCAGGAAGCTCAACAGTAACATCTATTATTTCAGTCCCTGGGCTAGAATAGGGCTTTCTGTATCCCCTGCGTGAAAGTTTGCAAATCTGTATAATTGTGGATTCATTGGCCCCTCTCTCAGGCTTCTCTACACTTACAGCGCTGCAGCTGCGTCACTGTAGAACTTAGCGAAGATGCTACCTACGCCGACAGGAGAGCTTCTCCCTTTGGTGTACATACTCCACCTCCCGAGAGAGAAGACCTCCCATTGACATAGTGCTGTCTACACTAGGAGTTTGGTTGGTATAACTACGTTGCAAAGGAGGGTGGAAAATCCACATCCCTGAGAGACGCAGTTATACCAACATAAGTCTGTAGTGTAGTTCAGGGCTTAGCTCATGGCTGTGGGCCTGAAACTCTCACACTCCCATTACTACCTCTGCAATAGTATATTTGGGGCAGACGTGAATGTACCTCCTTGGCAGACAAGTGGTAAAGAAACCCCTGGCTCGGTAGCTCAATATGTGATCTGCCCCACTCACCTTTATTCAGGAATACCTCTAGGTTTTTGGCATAACTCTATGAGTGGCTGAAGTTCAATAGTGAACACACTGTTGAAGAAATGCATAGACTAGACCTGCCCAGTGTGTGGTATGTTCACTACTGCGGAGGGGCAAACACTAGAGGGAATTAACCAGAACAAACACCACCACCATTAAAGGAATGTTTAAAACAAATACATAGAACAGCAATTACATTTGATACCTATTGTTGACAGCAAATTTTTAGCTTTATATTCTCATTGCTTTAAAAAGCGAGCAAGCAACCATGAGTTCTGCTTGTATAGCAGCAGTAGAATGAGAACTGCTGCACTGGAGAAACACAAACCAAGCGTAAAACTGATCACAATAGAACAAATGTTGATGAATGTTTTGCAACACAATCAATCATATTGATTTCTAATTGTATGGCACTTCTATTCCACTTTGCATAGGATTTCAGAAAGACAGCAATCCACCTAGGCTAGAAACCCAAGCTCCCTTTGGTTCTGAAAAGTAGATTTAGTCCTATTTTTTGTGACAGATGGGGTTGATAGTCTCCCGATGAAAAAAGCGCCAGTTTTTGACAGGCAGCAGACACTGATGCCTCTTGTGGTCAAAGCCCATGTTGCTCTGGAATTAAGGTAGCACTAAAATTAAAAGAAACACCTACAAATGCACTATCACCAACTCTGCAATGTACAGCTTATGCTGGTCTGAACATTTTATATTATATTTGTTATTTTAATCTTATCTTTTCTTTTAATCAAAGGAAGAATTAAGAATGTAATGAGAATTTTAATGCATCCATGACCAGTCTTTTATCTCAGTTAATAAATTTCAGGCAACTTTTAATAGCTAGTAGATCCCAATAAAGAATTCAAATAACCATTTCAGACATTGGGAAACATATTTCAGTGTTCTATTTGCAAAATCTATTGTTATAAATAATGTATATAAGAGGATAGGTTGGTTTTTTTTACTAAATCCTAGTAGTTCCGTGCATTGACTCCCCAGAGAAAATCTTCATGCAAATATATAATTTGAATTTGCTTAAAGGCAAAAGAAGTGCAAAACGGTCAAATGACAAGTGGTCATGCTTAAGTACTGCAGTTAATGGACCAAATTCTGTTCTCAGTATATGGATGCACTCCCATTGAAGTCAGTAGCATTGCACAAATCTTAAAAGAACAGTTTGATTCAATATGAGACCGAGCTTACATTCCTCGCAGGAAGAATTCTTACTTCCATTGCGAGGGGGGGAATGAGATCAGCAAATGATGCAAGAGCCCTTTCTGTTTGCATATTGGTATATAATGGCATATTTGATATATAATAAATCTATAATTGTTTGGACTTCTATCAGTGAAATGTATAATGAAATTTATTTTACAGCATCTTTTAATAACGTATGCCATGATGTTACATCTCAGGCAACTTCTATAAACCAAACGCTGCTTTGTGACCACTGGAAAACAGAGATGGGTGCAAAGCTTTGCCTGATGTAAACAGCTGCAAAGTTTCTTCTTGAAAAGCTGTGTTGTTGTGTAGTATAGTAACTCTGGGAGCCTCCTTAACAGTAGGAGGGGCTCCTTGGGGGCTGCTGTCAATCTCGTTAAGCCTTTCCTTTCAAGCTTTGAATGTGAGCTGCCCACCAGCCCCCCTTTCTCCCGTAGATCGTAAAGAAAAAAAAGTTTCAACAACAGGCTGGACCAATAGTAAGTCGAAAAGCAGGGAAAGGGGGCCGAGCGAAGGGAGAAAAGTGGAGAAAGGGAGAAAGAGAGCGACTAGCGAGAGAGAGCGCAGGCTGGGGGCATGTGTAAAAGGGGAAGAAGCGTTGCTAATTGTTTTGTTTGTTTGCTTTTCCATGCATGCATAATGAGGCTTCATCAGAGCACGTTGCTGCTGCTCGGAGGCCACTTTTGTATTTAAAGCCTTGCAAAGAAAAAAAGCTCCACACCGCAGAGCAGAGCAGCTTGCGAGCTTGTTGACAACAGAAGCCGCATCAACCGCAGAGACAGAAAGAAAAGGGAGACCCTGAGCCAGCTATTTCCCCCCTTTCTCTATTTTCTTGCCAAAAAGGGGATTTCTTTCCCCTTCTTCCCAAAAGTGCAACAGTACAAGCGAACGAGCGGAGCCGGGACCGTGAATGGGATCGGAGCGGTTTGTGCGGCTGGCATGTGCGGAGATGCTGAGAGCGGAGAGTTGAAAGCTCCCGAGGAAGCAGCAGCAGCTGGGCATTTATTTTGTGCAAAAAGAGGAAAGAAAGGGATCTGCATGAGAAGCAGGGCAGCAACATGAGCTCCCCCGGCGCAGCCTGCAAGCCCCCGAGTGCACTCAGGAGCCGCTCTCCTCCCAGCCCCCAGTTGCACTGATTAACTAAGGGAACTCTTGCGGCAACCGCAGCCCGGGACTCGGGGGTGGGGGTTGTACTGCAGCCCGCTGTTCCAGCCTCGGAGGGGCCGCGTGGATGGATTGATGAGGGGAAGCCTCATGCACACAGCTGGCAGGAGTTTTGCAAACTTTTCTACGGGCAGCTGCTCCTCCTCCTCCCCTCATCGACCCTCTTGCAGCCGCCGCCGCCCGCAATGGTGGTAGGTTCGCCCGCTCTGCATGAAGGAGGCGGCGGCGGCCGCCGGTGGCTGATGCCGGGCGCCTGGCTCTGGCTGACGGTGGTGCTGGGCGCGGTGTCCCCCCCGCGGGTGCACGGCCGAAGGCTGATCTGCTGGCAGGCGGTGCTGCAGTGTCAGGGGGAGCCCGAGTGCAGCTACGCGTACAACCAGTACGCCGAGGCGTGCGCCCCGGTGCTCCTGCAGCAGCACCCGGCCGGCAGCGCCGGGGCCGCTGCCGCCTCCTCCCGGCGGCGGTGCCCGAGCCACTGCATCGCGGCCCTGATCCAGCTCAACCACACCCGGCGGGGCCCGGCGCTGGAGGAATGCGACTGCGCGCAGGATGAGACCTGCTGGGCCACTAAGCGCGCCATCGAGCCCTGCCTGCCCCGCACCAGCGGCGGGGCCGGGGGCGCGGCGGGCGGCGGAGGCGGCGGGGTGATGGGCTGCACCGAGGCCCGGCGGCGCTGCGACTGGGACAGCCGCTGCAGCGCGGCGCTGGGCCGCTACATGGTGTCCTGCGGCAAGCTCTTCAACGGGCTGCGCTGCACCGAGGAGTGCCGGGCCGTGATCGAGGACATGCTGGCCGTGCCCAAGGCCGTGCCGCTCAACGACTGCGTCTGCGACGGGCTGGAGCGGCCCATCTGCGAGACAATGAAGGAGAACATGGCCCGCCTCTGCTTCGGCGCCGAGGCGGGCGGCAACGGCGCCGGCAGCAGCGGCGGCTCGGACGGGGGGGCGGAGGATTACTACGATGAGGAGTACGAGGACGAGCCCAGGCGGGACGAGCCAGATGAGCCCGGCCCCCAGCCCGGCTTCTCCGCGCCGGCCGATCGCGCCTGCCGAGCGCCCGCCCCAGCAGCCTGGACCGCGCTGGCCTCCATTTTGCTGCTGCTGCTGTAGCCACCGAGTCCCCATTTGCTTCAGGGCTCGCGCGCGCGCGGCGCTCGGGACACGTGGGGGGGGATCCCCGGTCCCAGACGTCCCCCCGGGATCATTTAGGGGGACACTCCCCTCCTCCATCTCCGCGGTCGTTTCTCCAGACACGGCCCCTCCCTCCCCACCTCCCCCAATACTTATCTGCACACCCTCTTGCCAACACCTGCCTGGACATTTATCTTAGGCACTGTCCTCACACACACACACACACACACACACACACACACACACAGTTAAAATCATGTTGATGGCGACGATACCAGTTGATTGGCCTTGTAAACTGGCCACTGTGTTCTGCACGGGAACTAAGGAGATGGAGAGAGATGGACGGAGGGAGGTGTCCAGGACCGCGGGGTGATTTGGCTTGGTTTTAGCGTGCACTATGCAATTTGTTCCACACCCCGGCTTGTTAGCAGCAAGCCGATGAGTTAAGAAGAGGAACTGTTAGCAAAGCTACTGTAGGTTTATTACCATCCCGCCAAAACAAAATACAAATAGTAAGGTGCTAATAGTTGTTAGCATTTGACATGAGGGTGAGAGAGAGGTGGGAAACCCGAACTTGCTGCCAAAACAACTGCCTTACTGGTTATAAGTAGACCAACAACTCGAATTCAAGTACCGTTCTCCGTATCACCATTCAAAATATTCACAATGATGCCTGAAAGAGGATTACGTTTCAATTGCCTTTAATTAACTGGCGGGGGGGGGGAAGTTTGGAACAAATTGATGGGATCTCAGCCTCCCCTCACATTCACTGTCCCCGTAACAAATGCTTGCCAGCAAACATCTCTTTTTCTTCAACCTAACGAGAAAAAAATGCAGATTTTTCAGAATTGTTGGCTGCACTGAACAATGCAACTTTGGTCTTAAAAGAGCTCTGCACTGCCATCTTCGAAAGACACTTTTTAAACTCAAGAACTTGTATGTACAAATATTCTGAAAAGTTATATTGTCTCTAGTCATATCAGGGTGCTGACCTCTGGTAAATCTTATATAAAATGTATTTAAAACTGGGATTTGTTACCAGTCACTCTACTTTGTATATAGAATTTTATAAATTGTATGCTTGGGGAATAATTTATTTTTTAAAAAATAAAAGTTTTAAGTCTACATCCTATTTGCCAGATAATTGCATTTGCTGTTCTTTTCTGGAAAGATACAGATTTCATTTTATGTGTAAAGGGATACAAGCAACAATAATGAACTATTCTGTAGAACATCAAATGTACAGTGTATTTTATAGTTTTGAAGGTAACTTTCTTATTTTAAGAGACTTTATGAACACTGTAGAATTGTATAAATGCATTTCCGAGCTGCCTTAACGTATTTTTATAGAAGGCATAAAAGATCCTATGTTTTAAATATCTACGGCTTTTGTATTTCTTAAATGTGTAAATTAGTAAAGGAAGAGTTTTAAATATGGATGCATGATGATGTCCAGAGACACTGCTATTGAGTGAATTATCAGTCCTGTTTGGGGGAACAGGGGAGGAAGGATAAATAATAAATAAATAAAAACTCAGTATCTCTCTATGGTACTTTAAATAGATGTCAATTACTTTTGCCCTTACTTTAATGAATAATTGGACATAAGTAGTAAACAGGACTTTGAAAATACTACCTTCAAAGCAAGTGGTTGATTTTTGTATGTGTTGGCATGGTAACGTACCAGTGCAGAGCGGTGTAAAACAATTCTCAGTTTGTCTTCCAAGGACACTGCTCCTATATGTGTATAGAATTATCAAGCCAGCAGCTCCTTCCTTATGAAATGGAGGATGGTATTCCCACTGATGCTGCTAGACTTCTCATATACATGCAAAATATCTTGCCACACATACAGTGTCTCAAGCAACTTTCAGAAATATTTAGATTATATACAGGAAGTGATAGGCATTTGCAACAAAATTCATGAAAGTTTGCAAGCCAATTCGCCTTTCTCCACAGTGAAGAGTGCAAAAGTAAACAAACTGGGGTGATCAACAATTACCAGAACTTGTAATACTGTTCTTTGGAGTTGTTTTGCATTGGGCTGGAGCCTGGTTTTCTGCCAGAGCTACTGATCTACACTCAAACGCCCTTAGATAAATAATTACACTCTTAAGCTGTGTCGAGTGCTGATACACTTGACCTTGTAAATAGAAATGTTTGCAGTAGGAATAAACTCCGGCATTGGAAAATCTTTTAAACATTAACACAAAGGAGGGAGCTTGGTCCTCTGGGGATTTGAGTTTGAACCGCGCCAAGCTAGGCACTTGCAAAAAAAAAAAAAAGTTTGTTTATCTTCTATTCATGTTGTTTATTTAAAGCTTTTAGTTTTAAATGCGGTGATTGGAAGGCAAGACAGAAGTTTAAAAGCCACCACAAATAAACTTTGACTGAGGGGGCGACAGATTAGCAAAATAGTGTCTTTTTCATCTTAACAGATCTTGAGAGAAGATAAACCCACATCTGTCTATTAAGTCAAATAACACAGTTATAAATCCCCGTTTCTAGGATCAGTTATTTTAGATACTGTTTTTTGTCATTTCTTTAGTTCAGATGATTTTGCGTAATTTCATTAAGCAGTGAATTGATATTTACACACAAGCATTAAAAAAAAACAACAACACCCTCCAAAATAGTTGTGATGTCGAGCAAGCCTGAGTATGGTGTGTGGCTATGAGCTAAATTGGTTTTTTTTTTTTTTAAAGTCACCTGAACGGTTGAGTAAACTTATTGTTAAAACAAAGCTGAAAACGTTGTTTCTCTAGGAAGAGAACAAAGAAGAGTCGGGAGAGACTTGTAAATGGAATCAGCTTTCTTTACAAAAATGCTGAGTTTGCAATCCTGTAGGTATGATCTTAAATATTCTCCCCAGTCCTTTAAGGGATATTCTTTAACATATTTTCAGTTAATCAACTTTCCGTGTCCATACAGGCTATTTTGACTCGTTTTAAGTGAAAAAAATAAGTCCCAGTAAAAGCCTCTGTTTTTCCTCAGTAAGGAGTAAAGGCATTAGCACTAGAAAAGGACTGATAATTAACTGCTACAATAAACTCAAGACTTGATTTTACAGGCCCCTGTCAGAAGCATCTGCCTGGAATAAATCAACACTGAGCACCACTGGGGAGGGAGGACACGAGTCTTTATGCTTCCTTCCCTGTAGAAAGTGTACATTGATCGGTGGCTCGTTTTAATTTAAATAGTGGTACACGAAGCATAGCCGTACACACTGCATCCTGTGGTCTTCGCCTTATGAAAAAAATAATATAAATAAGTTGGGTTATCACAGCGAATGCTCCTGCCAGAGTGAATTAGCTACACTGAGTGTACTGGCCTGTATCCCCATGCTACGTGATTATACAGGGGTGGACGTCGTCTGTCATATTTTAAATTCAGAGACAGTGAAAGTCGGAAGTTTTCGAATTTCTAAGGGGAGGGCTGTGGGCATCACTAGAAGAAGAAAGGACGTGAGTTTCCCTGATTGAGAGGGAATTTTCCACAGGAAAAGAAGCCCGGATTTTCTAGATTTTTGAAAATGCTCCTCGTCTTGGCCCATTTCTAGCGATCTCTTCCGGGGAGAGAAGGAACTCTTTTCCATGCCATGTAAAATAATCCAGTGGCTTCAGTCCCCTTTTTATTGCCAGTTACCAGGTTTGAATTCTCGGTGACAGTTTATTTGTCTTTGGAGGCACTCCAGTGACAAATGTTTAAGGGAGTGTGGGACAATGGTGGAGAACAAGGAGGCAGTTCATTGAACTGACAGTGACCATACAGTAAATAGAGGGAGATTCAAGCTTCACTGGTCACCCAAGCTCACAGCAAAGCTTTTGTACACCATCACAATAGCCATAACATAAGGTCTCTGTTTATTTTAAACAATATATACCAATGTATGCAGGCAGGCAACATTTACCTTGGTAAATAATTATGATGAAACTAAGATTTATAATAAGAAGAAATGAAATCGATTTTGGCCAGAGTATTTTTACACTCACACTGGAAAGCATGCAGGGTTATAGTTACAATGTACCTACGTACGCTTTACGTAACACTTATCCGATCGTTGGATCATCCATTGCCTACACCTATGTATAACAAATGTGTACTACGTGGGTGGTAAGAATATGCAAACTATATGTGCATAGAACAGGAAACAACCTAGCTCGATGCAATGCAAGATAGTTCGATATTAAAGCAATAAATGTCTCTTCTTTTTTTTTTTTAAGTACCCTGGGTTGGGTGGGGGAGGGGAAATTGTAAAGAAGCCAAGATTTACAAGAACAAACTTGGAACATATAACCATAGTGTCAGCTTGAATCATGGAAAACATGCTCAACTGACTTGTAGGACCTGCCTCTTCAGTGCTGCTAAAAGAGATTCCGTTCTGTATCATTTTGGCCATGCACACCATATAATATCAAGGAATGCCCCGCTGCCATACACATGTAAAGTAGGTAGACTCGCGGTACAAAACATTTCCAACTGGGAAGATCAGTGCTCCTATGTGAGATTTCAAGTCTGTTCAAGGGTATAAACATCTAGAAAGCTATATGATTTGTAAGCACCAAAGTCGAAAGTTACTGTATTTGACTTGAGGCATTGGCCGTAGTAGACAGTTGAAAAGGCTTACATTGACTGTCTGAATGACATAAGTAATGCCCTATTAGCATAAATACTTTCTAAGGCATCCATTTAATCAATTTCTTAAATAACAGAATGATCTACTACAAAATAGTGGACTGTATACACTATATTTTGGCACAAAGATGGTCATTCTCCCAGTAGTAACCAGGGGCTCTAAATAAATGATTTCAACAATGTTTTATTAAAGGAGGACAAGAGCCCTCGAGCTGCATTAATCGGGGAGAAGTCGAGTGGCACTTTTGTTATGGAAATGTTAAGCACATAATAGTTCAGGCAAACAATGTGGAGCCACTTCATTCTTTCAGCCATGCTGACACCTCTTAAAGAGGAACTGCAGGGAAGGATGTGGGAAAGATTTGCTTTCTGAGGAAGCTTTCAGCTAATATTTTGGAGGGTTACCTCCAAACCCCTTTTAGTGTGAATGGAACTGAAGGGTA